ATAATGTGGTCAAGCACAAGTCTCTGAGATGCCCCACGCATTCAAATTTAGTTCAAAATTTTTTTGGGGTTTCAAGCGCTCGATTCGTCTTTGCCAGGCGATCGTATTTCAAATTCTCTTTCCGTAATTGGGGTTATCACGGCGATGGGCTTTTAATAATGATCACAAGAGTTTTGGATATTATTGGACGCCAAATGTGGTACCGAGCTTGCACACAAGCGTGAGAAACGGCTATTACCCTGATGGACTTTTTCTAACTCATTTTTTTCACGCATGTAGCCGCTTCATCTTTTGCTTAATATCGTAGTTTCATCGGATACATACGGTAAAAAGGTTCGAATAATTTAGGAATCAGAGTGATGGAAAATTCTGTAAAAAACGATTTCGGAGCGGTTAGCGACAATCGCACTCAAAATGATTCTGCATGGCTGTGGAATGCGTGGCCTGTCCCAGAAAGGGGAAGTTAGGAGGTGAATGCTTGATCTCTCATCCTTCTCGATATCAAACGTCATTTACACTTACTTACACTTACTTACTTACAATTAAACCGACTTTTTACTGAAATGTTACTCTTGAAAAGCATACCTCAACGAGGGGAGGTGTCGTTGGTGCTCATGTTATCGAAAACAACGGCCTCGGTTACTGGGTTCATCGCTATCACGAAGTTGTCGTGTGGACGAGTTTAAATACAGTAGTAGGATACTGAATTCCGACAGATTTACAGCTTGATGAGATTGCTGTAATGATCTATAATTTCAACTAATCAAATAAATCGCGCAACTCTCGCGATAACAGTTTTCATCCGACAATTTCGAGCACATCTTCATTTGAAAAGGTTTTTTTTTCGAAGGATTGCAAGTTATTAGAAATTAGTTGAAATATGATACATACGATCCGCCAGCTCTTACACGCAACTTACTACAAGGGAAGGATACCAGGTCGAAGTGGCCATTTGTAACGAGACATACACCACTAGATGTGTTTTTGGACGCTGATCTCGAATCTGCTCTCCAAATCTGCGAAACGATTCTCTGAACGTAGTTATGAAGCGAGATAGTGCAGTGGCAGCGGCCCGGCCGACGAACAAGAGGTCGTGAGATCGAGTTCTTGGCGAGTTCTCACTTTTGCTTTTCTTGTGAACGTTGTTTAAGGGACTCTTATCCATGCTAAGTTATCAGCGATTGCCTATAGCACAAGTAAACAGAGCTGGCGAAGAGCTTCGAGCACTGTGCGCGTCATTTGCAAGTGACCGCCTCTGACACCCGTAGCGCACGCGTAAGGCAATTTCGTGCCAAGCAGATGCGATATTCGTGTTCAGCGCGTCGAAACACCCCTTTCAACAACATTTGGTCCAAATCTAAAATTTTGACTTGAAGTCGAAAATGTGGGCAGTCATCTATCCATCAACCCACTGTCAGAGCCTGATCGTGGGATTGAATTAAACTTTCAGTCATTATTGTGAAAGAGATATAGTTGCCTGCTCTACTTGCTCGTGCCATCCGAAGATTAATATGATATTTTTTCCGTACACGCTCGCTGTAGGAGGAGCAGGCGTAATAACTTCG